GTGTCTTTACTGTCATCGTATTTGACACTCATTTGGTCATTGTCTGAACTTTCGGAGTTAGAAGTTAATTTTTTGTTTGTCTACCTGCTACGAATATATTATGAGCACAGTCGCCTCCTTGTAATCTTTGTTCTATTTGGTAAAATCTTCTTCTTGGGCTTAATGGGACCATGCTCTAAAAAAAGTTTTTGAATTTGCCGAGAAAAATCTTCGCAGCCTATTCTCTGCGTTGCCTCTTTTGATCGCCAACATAATGAAGATTTTTTGATGACGGTCGACTTTCCGTCGGATATTGTTACTTGTAATAGGCAAACCTTTTTTAAAAAAAAAAAATCTCTCTCTCTTCTGGCATTAGCCTTAGTGAGAAATTCTGCGAAGAGGTGTCAGGGATGTCCTGGTATGGTGATAACGTATCCAAAATCTCACAGTTGTGATTTTCTATATCAGCTAAATCCTTTAGATCGTGCACGATTATTGGCTAACAGGGAAGAGGCATTTCCATTGCTCTAAGGTCTGGGCAAACTGTTTGCAAACCACATACCTGTACTTGCGGCGAAACAGTTGATAATTTGGGTCTTCACGGACTATATTGTCGCAGAAGCGCAGGAAGGTGGTCTCGCCACAACATGTTCAATGACATTTTAAAAAAAGCTTTTGCTTCAGCAGAAATAAATACAACTTTAGAACCTGTTGGAATTCACAGAGCTGATGGAAGGCGAGCTAACGGGTTAAAATTTTGGTTCCTTGGAAGGGTGGAAAACAACTTGTCTGGGATGCTACTTGTAGCGATACTTTGGCTTCTTCATATATGTATAAATTTTACAAGTATAAAATCAGGGGAAGCAGCCCAGGATTTCGAAAACAAATAAAACCAATAAATATAAGGATATATTAAATAAATATTATTTTGTACCTTTTTGTGTGGAGACTTTTGGACCATGGCACAGCCCCCTACATTTACAAGCCATGAAGTTGGAAATGACGGCAACGTCGCGTATGGTGCTATTCTGTTATCGAGGTTATTGTTTCTGTGTATTGCGTTAACAGTTTAGTATTTTTGTGGGCATTATTGACGAAAAAGTGGATAAAAACACACCGATATATTGCCCATATTTAGTTAATACCTGTTCCTTTGTGCTTTGATTGCAAATTTTCAGCAAATGGGTACAGGAGCAAAAATGAAGGTAAGGTAAGGTAAAACAATAAAAACAATATTAATATTTGTCAAGAGCATAGGTCTCGATATATTACCTAAGATATTTAATCTTGTTCCAGATGCCATGAAACTACTGTGTTCCTGGGTGCAAATCGAACTAGGAGTTCCTTGAAAACTGAAGAAATGCAAACATTTATTTCCAAAAAAAATCTGAATTGCAGAAGTTGTGGATGAAAGCAATACACCAAGATAATTATACCCGAGATTATACAATAACGAAAAATTCTGTGGTGTGTTGTGAACATTTGAAGAAACCGAAATAATTAGATTTGAAACGAAACAAGAATAAAGGAGTATGCGAGAGTTCAAACTAAAACGTCCAACTCTTGAAAGTACCTCTTATTTTCGGAAATCAGCTCAATTATTTGAATAAACCTGCCTTCCGAAAAAATCCCGAAGAAAGAAAAAGTTAGATTTTCAAAAGACATACTGAAACATAACACTTTGGACTCTAGAAATATATTCATTTAAATCAATTATTTACTGTTCTTATTTACGCAAATAGTTAAATTATTCATTGAATTACTGTTTTTGGCCCTTTAGTACAATAAATTATGCATTTTTTGTGATTCATATTAATAAAATAGAAAATATATATTTATACAAACAAACACCACCAGCACCACTTGGCGGTAAGATTGCGGTGTTGCCTTTTTAACTTCATGGCTTGTTAACTGTAGGAGGCTGGAAGCAAAAAAATTAATAAAAAATTTAGGTAAACGAATTCAGACTTTATCGGGTGAGGCGAGATCAACAAGCTTTTTGAAACAAATAATCAGCATTGCAATACAATTCGGAAATGCCGCATCGGTTTTGGGAACAATGCTAAAAGAAACAGCTCTGGATGAGATTTTTTTACTTTAGTTTTTAAGTTATTTATATGATATATATATTATTTTTTCTTTTAACAATTTCCAAATTTGTCGTTGTAAATCTTCTTTAAACATTCGGTCCATAATAGTCTCTGTCTTTTTCGGTCGGCGTAAAGGTTTTTTGATTGTATATTGTCCGGTCAAAATTCTTTGAATAGTCCTGCCTGGTTCCCACCTAAAATTTAGGGAAAATGTTGGTTGGGTAAGAAATGGCTTCACATCTACATTTAAGTTATACCTACCTCAAATATATCTGCAAGTTGGGCTTCAATTGTTCCCTGGAGAGCCTCTGGTTTATTTTTTTTTTTAAATAACCATGACATTTTAATATTTCCCTTTTTTTTTCTTCTATTATTCTCGGCATCTTCAATACGAGAAATTTGACAATGCCGAATTTTAAAAAATTTCATTAGATTTTGCAGGTACGCAGAATAGTTAGGTACCGTTTATAATATAGCATTATTGAAAAATGCATTGAAAAATGTGTCAAAGGACCCCGCACACATCTTATGGGTTTTTGGTTTTCTGTCACTCAATGAAATTTTGATATGTGGTATATCTTGACTTACTGATAAAAAGTTCCCATGGGCCCAACCCGATACTATGATTAGTTTCCGAAATACAGGTGGTTTAAAGTTCAAGAAATGTACACATTTTATATGCATTCACATCTACCTGTCACCTATTATTAGGTCTGTCAGAGTGAATTTCATTGGTTGTAACTAGTTTTCTGACTGTTTCTGACTGTTTTCGACCAATCAAATTCGCTCTGACAAGTTTGTGATTTTTGCAGAAACAGACCTATTATTAGGTGACAAGTAGATGTGAATACATATAAAATGTATACATTTCTTGGAAATAAAAGTACCTGTAACTCAAAAACTAATCATAGGATTGGTTCGGGCCCATAGGAACTTTTTATCAGTAAGTCAAGATATACCACATATCAAAATTTCATTGAGTTTGACAGAAAACCAAAAACCCATAAGAGGTGTGCGGGGTCCTTTGATTTGCCAGATAGGCCAGAAAATTTTAATACCGCGGCACTTACGAAATTATGTAAACCACACTTAAAACTGTCTGGAATTTGACATATATACTCTCATTATTATACGAGGGTCAACCTGTCAAATTTCCATGGATAATGCTACGCCAATAATAAGTGAAAAGCATATACCTTGTGTTGCCATTAGTCTGTGTTTGAAGCGCTGAGTGGAAGTGAAACTTAATGGCGCATTGCTTTTATTAGATTAGTATCGCCATCACTAGAGAAACCGAGTAAAGTTATACCCCGCGCCTCTCCAAGTTTTCTTCCATATCTTTCCAGTTTCCATCTTATTAAAACATCGTTGAAATCAAACCTATTATCTGTTCCTAAAACAACGAGGCAGATTTTCATAGCAGAAATCTACTGAAATCCACGAATATCTATGGACATCCACAGAAATCCAGTGAGATCCACGGATATCTATGAAAATCTATAGACATCCACAAGAATAATAGAAATCCATGGAAATCTACACGGGTGTACACCAGAAATCCACAGCTGTTGACTCCTCGAGAAAAGCCGAAGGTATCTGAACAAAACTAAATCAAAATAATCACCACCGAAAAATGAAAAAAAAAAGTAAGGTTCGTTTCACCAGGGTTCATACTTGACCTTGAAACTTGAAAAAAAAGGATTGTCGTAGATTAATTCATATGACATATACAATTTTTTTGACAAATTAAAATGAATGACGTCTGATTAAGAACCGACGAACGTTTTTGACGTCATTGATTTGTTTCAGTCAATTTTTATTTGTTAAAAAAGGAATGCAAATGCTGGTGGCAAGTACAAACCCTGGCGAAACAAACTTTACATAGATTTTGGAGAGCAAGGAAATTTGATCCGACTGAGCAATGCAAAAGAAATACACTTATAAGTTGAAACGAGCAATAGTACCTAAGAGTTTGTGAATCAGGATCGGGAAAAATAGAAATATCAGAAGAACACAACGAAAACAAAAACCAAATTTTCCCAAATGTCAAGAAATACTCTCACTATCAGGACAGGTATTCACTGAACAAGATCACATAGTTGCAGTGAAGCAAGAAAAAGTTTTACCTTGAATTTTGTTGAATAAATTTCCAGTTGCATATGAACATCAGATAATAATTTGAAAACTTATACAGTGTGTCCGAAATTCGAGTCTCTACATGGGGATTTCGCTTATTATGAGAGATACAGGGTGGCTCAAATTAGGAAAGTTTTAGGAAATTTATTGCTCATCTATATCCTGTAGAAAAATTTAGCAAAATATCGGTTCCAACTGTAATTTTGAAGGACTTGCAGAACGTTTTCCTAGCTTGTAATACATCATTTTAATGGATTTTTTTCGCAGAATATTATTTTGTTGAAATCGAGGATGGCCGCCATAAGAAATAAGAAAGTTTTGCTTAATAACTCGAAAACAAACGACAATCGGAATGTTTTCAAATCACGAAAATATCCGTCTCAAAAAAGTGTCTCAATAATGTTGAAGTTAGAAAAGTCTAAAGTTAACGGTTTATGAATTATTAACAAAAAATAAAATTGGCTATTTTCAGTTTTTCTCGGATTTCTAGGAAACAGAAAACTTTGAAGCAAATTTAACAACAGGATATAAATATTTGAGCCACCCTGTATCTCTCATAATAAGCGAAATCCCCATGTAGAGACTCGAATTTCGGACACACTGTATATTTCTAAAATATATGCAAGAAATATGGACATAGCTTTGGAAAAAAATCACTTTCAAAGCAAGTCCTGTCCTGAAGAAAAAGATGCTGAAGTTTTAAAAAATAAATTTGATGCACAATAATTGTACGTGTAAAAAAACTCAAAAAATCAAAAGTTTTATCGTCGAAGTGCTGAAATGGATGCACTGAAATCAGCCTAATTCATCTGGAAGATTCAGATTAATATAACTGAATAAGAATTAATTTACCGATTATAATAAGAAAATAAGAACTTGACTCAGAAAACAAGATACAAAAGAGAGACGCTAAAATTGACTCTTTTGTATTACAGATTTCAAGATTACTCGAGGCTCTGCTCAGTTTTTTACCTTTGAAGGAAGTTAAAATTGACATTTAGATTTAATTTTTATCTCTTAGAGCAAATAATTGCTAAAGAGTAAACTTTGCTAGAGACTCGACTTTCCGCCCTTCAAAAAGCTAAAAATAGTTCTTATGGTAATTTTCAGCCTCCGGGTTCACTAGAAGTAAAGTGAAAATCAATTATGTATGATATGTCCTCTTTGAGCGTTAAATTATGTCTCTGAAAGTTAGAAATTGAGTTGAAACATTTTTCATTTTTTTGATTCTATTTCAATAGTTTAAGGTACTTATTACATTGCTTTTTTTAGTAGATGCTAAGTTTCATGTTTCTGAAATATAAATGCATAGGTACCTATATTTTACCTCTATAAAACCTCCTTAAAAAAATTCCAAATAGTATAAAGTACTCACCTACTGTAAGAGAAAATAAATCGGATCTGTCCAGAATAAGAGCAATATGTTTCCATCCAAACTGATTTAGAATGCTGGAGAAAACTTTTTTCAGGCGGCATTGGCAGTAGGACATTCTGGTTAGCGTCGGGTATTTGCTTTTGTCTTTCAAAATACCCTGGAAAAAAAATAAGGATGTTAAGTATTAATTTTTATTTTTTATACCTGGAAATATATGGGGTGATTATTGTATCATGTTAGTATAATTAACCTACTTTATAATATCAGCTTACTCAAGTGAAACACAAGAGATTTTAATGAGATGAAATTATGGGAAAGATAATAATTTTAATTGGTCGCAAATAAATAGCAATTAAAAAGTCAGTTGATAAATTAATTTAATCTAGGTTGGAGGGATTTTTCAAATAAGCACAATCTGTGTATTTGATATTCCAAAGGAATGTGAACTGATAGCTCCCTTTGTTGAACACCTGACGTCACACCTGTTATGCTTCTCCCTCTAGCTCCTCATACAGAAAGTGTCAAATTAAAAACGACGGACAATAACTCAATGTATTTAGGTTACCTTTGGTGATCTGGTCAAACTAGAGTTATTTTTATAGGATGTTTTGAAAAATAGAAACGTAGACTAAATGTTTGTTTAGATACAAGTTGTCAATTTATGACGTCACACTAATGGAGTGTATGTAGGAGAAAGACAACTTCCTAAAAATAGTAAAAAGTGAAAAATTTAAAATTTTCTAATGCTATTTGTCGTGAGCCAAAGAGCATCTAATGAGCTTCTAGTTGATGTACCCTTGCTCCCATTAACCTTGACACGAAATCCATCGAGCAAACAACAAAAAAAAAAAACGTTTTCCATATAAAAATCTAGAGACTGAACAACATGCAACAGGCAACAACGCGATCGCCATTTGCAATCTCGACTATTAAAAATCAATTACAACAGGAAATTAAACCTAATCTCCTGGAAACAAGACGCACATTTCGAAGATCAACTAAGAAAACGGACGGGGGAAAGTCCCATTTAAAGTAAGATTGTTTTCGGTCAAATGGCCACCGGGAATTATTTCGTGGTAATTGTTTGGAGAATTAATTATGGTTTCTTCAAAGGCTGGAGGAACAATTCAATTATATCAGCCTAATTCGATTGGTCCTCAATCAGAGTGATTTAATTCAGTTACTATTTGGTTTGAGGATATCAATTATTCCGAAAAAATCTTTTAGTTTGAAAAAAATTTTTGATATCGTTTATTTATGAGTGTTGTAAGAACCATATTACCCACGAGTGCGTAATTGCTCTCAACATTCTAAGTCGTGCAAAAAAGGGCCGAGAAAGTAAGAAAAATTAAACTTATAAGAAAAGCTATAATAAAAATGAGCAGCGATTCCCCCCAGAAGTCGTTTCACATCAATTTGTTCGTGCCAGTGCACGTTTTTCTCTTTTATCAGCATTTAAGCGATTTTTCACTTCAAAACATCAATTTAACCGGAAATGATTTGTAATATTTCTTGGCTACATCTTGCCAAATTAAAAGTGACAGTTTATACATAATAGTATATTGTGTATTTAGGTGGAAAAGTGACACATTCTCGGCCGACGGTGTAAGTTGACGGGCGAGGCGTAGCCGAGGCCGGCAAACAACGAAGGCCGAGAATGTACTTTTCCACCGAAATACACATACTATTTTTTCTGCGATCGGTTGAATACCTGTTAAATGTTTGTCTTTTAGTTCCAATTATTCAGCAATACGAGAATCACTTTCCCGGCCTAGGCCGGAAAAGTGTTTCCCGTATTGTTATTCATTAATTCCTTAGCAACTATTGAAACATAATTGAAATACCAGAATATTGAGTTTTGCGACCTGTCAACTGGTCAAAAATGCTGACATTTCTTGTCAATCGCAGAAAAAATAATAAGGAAACAGGTAATCTACCTAATTTTTCCTATAAAGGTATAACGAGAATATTAATAATATGCTCTTATAGTAGGTTATAGCACAATAAACTTTATATTTTGCTCTTGCGCTTTCACTTTCCTTTACAGGCTTAAAAAAAAATAATTCAAGCCGACGTAAATTTCCCTTGTTCTGTCCTAAGTTTCAGTGTCCATTAAATAAATGCCTGCCTCTTTATTATTTACTTAAAAAGAAAAAAAAAAAACAATGTCGGGGTTTGGAGCCAGACATTTCTTGTGGTATTTTTTCGACGAAATGACAAAAATGGATTAAAAAAGTAAGGAGATTAAAGAGAAAATTTCAGATAGGTATAGCCAGCTTTTTGGGAATAAATCATTCTTTCTGATATAGGTAGATAGGATAAAAGAATATCCGGCCGTATAAGCTACTATCGCTTACAGGTTCAATTTGAAAGGAGAACAGATAATGTTTTTTTTTTCTGCGACTGACAAGAAATGTCAGCATTTTTGACTGGTTGACAGGTCGCAAAACTCAAGATTCTGGTATTTTGATTATGTTTCAATAGTTGCTAGGGAATCAATGAATAACAATACAGGAAACACTTTTCCGGCCTAGGCCGGGAAAGTGATTCTCGTACTGCTGAATAATTGGAACAAAAAGACAACCATTTAACAGATATTTAACCTATCGCAGAAAAAATAGTATGCGTATTTCGGTGGAAAAGCACATTCTCAGCCTTCGGTGTTTGCCGGCCTCGGCTACGCCTCGCCCGTCAACTTACCCGTCGGCCGAGAATGTGTCACTTTTCCACCTAAATACACAATATGGGTAGTGTGAATAAAAATTTAGTAAAAGCTTTATCTTGCATTTCCTAAGCAAATACTTACTTTGCAGTGAATAAAAATGAGTATTAGCTTTAACTAAAAATTCAATTAGTAAAAGCTACAGTTTTTAGCATTGTCTTCAAATGGTGTGAATAAAAGTAAGCAATTCCTAATTATATGAAGGAAAAGCTTAAATTTTTGCAAGCCTGGTAAACCTTGGCTTAAACATTTTAGTGGTGTTAAAATTTTGGGAGAAATGGCTGCGTCTTTGAATATAAGGTCTGCGAAATTTTATCCCGAGAGAAAAGAAAGTCGTGCCGAGGAATACCACAGTCTCTTAATTCGAGATTGGCTGAAGATTTTTCAGGAACCTCCTCCTCCAACAAATCACTATCAGAATTACAAAAAAAAAAACTTCAGTCTTCTTTTTGTAATTTACAAAGCTCCACTGCAAGAAAATGGACTATTAATATTTTTTCAACTTATAGAATTGTCTGAATCACTATTAATTTCCACCTTGAAGCTTTGGCGGCGTTCGACCAACACTCAACTGTTGCCAACAGTTGAGTAGTTGAGGAAACAATGGGTACATTCATCAGTACTTAGTAGCTAACTTGCAGCAGTGTAAAGCAGTTGAGGATAGTTGAGATACAGTGGATGTAAATCTCCTGAACGCATAGTTGAGAGTTATGACAAATGACAATTCAATAAGTTGAGTTGGTAAGCGTAAACTTTTACCGCTTAGAGAAATCGGCAGCAGCTGACAAAAAGCGGTTTTTACTGAGCGAATGGTCCCGTTCACCAGCAACATGTTGAGTGATTAGTCAGCGGCTTTGTTGAAAACAGATGAAAATCAGCTCTAGGCCAATCGAAACTGTTTTACCTTGTGTATTCCACTTGTTAGAACAAAGCCGCTCACAATCACTGAACATGTTGAGTGCTGGTAAACGCGACCATTGTTTTTCCCAACTACTCAACTGTTGGCAACAGTGTGCTGGTGATCGTATCCAATCGCGTTCAGTGAAAGCCGCTTTTTGTCCTGCCGATTTCTCTAAGCGGTAAAAATTAACGCTTACCAACTCAATCTATGCTTTAAGGTGGCTACAGACGGTGTGCCAACGTCAGCCAACGTTGGAACCAACGTTGAGGCCAACAATCGGATATTCGTCATCATTCGCAAATTGAAAGCATTCACACGACGGGCCAGCGTTGGCGAATGTTGGTTATGTGTGAAAAATAGCGAACTTGTACCAGCATTGGTTCAATGCCGGTACAAGATGGAATCCGATGAGCTGGAAGTTGTGATTTCGGCTGCATCAACGTTGCTATTATCCACAAGTGCACTGCTAGACATAAAAACCCAAAAGTTAACTAATCCCACAACTATGGTCCTACTTTCGCAAAAACATACAAACAAATGTGCACGCTCGTGTGTATGGAGAAAATGGCATTGGCCAATATATGCCAGTCGAGACCTGATCCCTTTGATGTGCGCCAGAAATACCGCCTCCGAGGCGAACATCGGCCAGCGCCAACGTTGGACGGAGTTCGTAGCACGTTTTCTATACACACGATCCGATAATGTTCACAAATGCGGAAGTTGGCGTATGTTTGCCATGTCGTCTGTAGGCCGCTTTAGACATGCGCAGAAGTGTCGGGCGTTCAGGAAATTTACATCCGCTGTGTCTCAACTATCCTCAACTGCTTTACCCTGCAAGTTAGCTGCTGAGTACTGGTGAACGTACCCAATTATTGACTTCTTTCATTGTTTCCACGCCGCCGGTCATAGCTTTGTTCCAACACATCAAGAAACCGTACAATGTACCGTCATGATTCTGCGCAAAGCTAAAAATTTGTGCGTAGAACCCGAAATTCCTATACAGAGTGGTTTTAGACCGTTCATGGGACGGTTTTTGACATGTTGGAACCAAACCTCATACCATTTCGGTTTATAAAAATATAAATATCGGCTTTATCAGTATAAAAACTCGCAAACACACTTTTTGAAAAGGTTGTAGAAATTTCACGCAATCTCCGTATTTTCAGTAAACGCTTTAAATATCTAGCTTTTGCTAGTAAGTAAAAGGAAAAGGTTATTCACTTCAATTTCAGCAAATGCTATTAGCAAAAGCTTAATCTACCTAGTAAAAGCTGAAGCTATCACTTAATACTAAAAGTAAAAGCTTAGTTTTTATTCACACTGCCCAATATACTATAGGCATAAATTTTTCTTTTGAAGTTTTTTTTAGTTTGATTTCGATTTTGAAAAAATGATCTTAGAATGGAATATAGAATTCAGGTATTTAAGAAGCCAATCTCTAATACAGTACACTTCAATTTAAATATTTATCAATACAAAAACATCAAACCAACTTATAAATCTAATTTAATGGAAAATCCTATGTGGCGACTGA